GATTCCTGAACTGTCTGGACACAATCCTGTGCCATGTGCTCTGGGATGGCCCTGGGACCAGATGAGCCACTGGTCACTTCCTGTGATCTTTATTTAAAAATTGATAAACTGATGGTGATCAATACCCAGCACCAGTGAGGAGATGGAATTCCTGCTGATCCATTGGAACCAAATGGTGCCACAGAAATGTTTTGGGACCCCGGGGGGGGGTGGGGATATTTCAGAGCTCAAAGTGCTGAATCTGGTACAAACCAGCTCAAAGAACATGAGGACATCTCTGTTCCAGAACATCCCACAGGGAGATATCCAGTATATCCATTTATTACTCCCACATCCTTCTCTGTGCTGTCACTCTCAGAGGCAGCATTATCCTGTTTTTTTCGCCTCCATGGCTTTCCATTCTCATGGTCCTGCCTTCCACTCACATTTGATGGTGCGATTTCACTTTGTGCTTCCCTCGTGTTGGTACCAGTGGTTACTGAGTTGTTTTTTCACTGCTCTTCCCTCCTCACTTCCCTGGTTCCACCTGCACTGTGTTACATCCACTGAGACGCTTCTGACCTCAAGATTAGTGCAGGATTATTTCTGAAGGATCAGAAAACTGATGGTTTTAAGTTATAGGGAAGAGAGGAAACAGCCTCAAGACATTAGGAAAGATTTCTTCATGGAAAAAGTTGCCAAGCACTGGAATGGACTTCCCAGGGCAGTGGTGGAGTCCCCATCCCTGGAAGTCTTCAAAGACCACATGGATGTGGCACTTGAGGACAATGGGAGAGGTTGGACTCCATGACCTGGGAGGTATTTTCCAAACTTAAGGATTCTGGGATTTCATTCATTTAAGTTTTAAAAATGGTGCATTTTTGCACTTCTGTGTGTAGTTTGTCCAGAGGAATCTCTCAGGCAATGAAAATCACTGGCTGAGCCACAATTCCAACCAGGAATGGGCTGGAAGAGCCTTTGAGAGTAAACAGGGCCCTGAACTACAAGAGGGTTCAGGAGCTGTGGAGCACCAAGGGATGAGAAAAGAGCGTTCAAGAAAATAGTGTGAATTTTCCTCTCATACCTCGGAATAACTTTGTTTTACTCAGCAGAACAAATAAGGCAGAGCCTTTGCCGGAGGGGAGGGAGCCACGGGAGAGATTCCACAGTAAATCAACATTTACCTCCCTGAGTCACACTGAGAATTCCGTGGCCCTGAGGCCCTTTTGAACAAATAGCTGGGAATGAACACCAAGGGGCTGGGAGGAGTTCTACAAACCTTCTCCTTGCTTTTAATGTCTCTGTACACGAAGCCAAGAGGGACATTCCAAGGGGGGATGTGTGTTTTTGCTGCTAATTTTGGTGTTCAGCAGCTCAGGGGGGCGTTAAAAAGTCCTACAGGTTGTTGTGTTGGTTTTTGTCAATCGTTAAATCCTTCCATGGATCTTTTTCTGGCCAGATATTTCAGGACACTGAGTGAGGATGAATGATGGGGCTTTGAGGTCCCTTCCAACACAAACTGTTCTGGGATTCTGTGAGTTTTTTGTAGCTTTTAGGCTTTTCAAGCTGTCCCCCACCTCAAAAGGGAAGGGAGCACCCAGGATTCGTGAATTGGAAAAGGAGCTACAAAAGTCAGAGGGTGCAGAAAAACTTAAAAAGTTTTATTTGTAAATGACAGACTCGGGGTGGAAATTGGTGTAAATTAGTTCCTGATCTTCTGGTGTGTGGGGTTTGAGTGAGGAGGAGGGGGAGAGGGAGTTGAGAGAGAGAAAAAAAGGAAGGAAGGATGATCCCCAGTCCTGGCTCCAGCACAGACCCAGCTGAAGGGGTGTCCTGAGTCCTGGGATTCATGGGAACACCTTTTTGGGGATAAATTCCCCCACCCGGGAGATCACTTTATTCCTTTCTATGCAGCTTAGTTCTCATGCAAGATTTGGGGTCTTGCTTGGTCCTGATCCCCCCGTGGTCCATTCCCACTTCTCCAGCTCATCTGTGCTGATCTCCAGGAGCCAGAACAAGGATGTTTGTCCCAGAAAGTGCTGCCCTCCCTCCACGTGACCCCTTCTCCAGCCACATCCTGCTCTTCCTCACTGTGTGTTATTCCCACAATCCTTGGTTGGCTCCATGGCCATCCAACTGCCGGGGTTTGGGACAGACGCATCAACTCTGATCTCCTGGGCTCCTCCACACCCTCCCCTGTTGGTGCCTTCAGTTAAACTCCATCTCTTCTGCTGCCCTGGATCAGCTGCCTTTTGTTCTCTCTGTCCCAAAGGGAAGGAGATCCTTGGAGTGGAGTTGTCTTGTTCCCACCTGGGAATGGGAAGGGGATTAATGCTGATGTTTCTAAGCTGCTCCTGGGTTTTGCTTGGAGAGGAGCAGATGTGCTCATTTAGTGGGAAGCGATTGTCCTTAGCAGGGAAACAAATTCTGCTCAAGATCTCCAAATAAAATATTGGTTTAACTCAGCAGGAGCACAGGTGACCTAAAGCAATTGATTGAGGGGAATTTTGATTTGTTAATTGATTGATTTTGGGTTCCAGGGAGACCTTAGAGCCCCTTGCAGGGCCTAAAGGGGCTCCAGGAGAGCTGGAGAGGGACTGGGGACAAGGCATGGAGGGACAGGACACAGGGAATGGCTTCCCACTGCCAGAGGGAAGGGTTAGATGGGAGACTGGGAAGGAATTTCTGGCTGAGAGGGTGGGGAGGCCCTGGCCCAGGTTGCCCAGAGAAGCTGTGGCTGCCCCTGGATCCCTGGGAGTGTCCAAGGCCAGGTTGGAGCAGCCTGGGCTGGTGGAAGGTGTCCCTGCCCATGGCAGGGGGTGGCACTGGATGGGCTTTTAAGGTCCTTCCAACCCAAACCACTCTGGATTTTTATCATTAACTCATAGAATAAGTAAAAAACTAGAGTTTGCAATACTGGATAAATTTTAAAGCCTGATCAAGGTTTAATATGCAAATGAACAAAAGGGCCATGGGTGGGTCATCTGCAAAAATAGTGATAAAATCTGCTAAAAGGAGTGACTTTCTTGCCAGAGAGCCAGTGAGCGTGAGCTGGAGTCAGAACTTGGGCTCTCTGCAGGACTGCAGAATAAATTGAATGTGTTGTGCTCCAGAACTGCCCAGACTGGATGATCTACTGTCTGTTCTGGGCTTCAAATTGGTCTGTAATTCTTTGGCCAGTGGCTGTGGCAAAGCTACACGACAACGAGCAGGACCTGCCATGAATCTTCCTGGGAAGAAAGAGCTGCCAGGTCGTTCATCTTCCCCTTGCCAGCGCCGTGACAGGTCCCTGGCAGGCCCTGGCAACGGTTACGTGCTTTTAATTAGAGTGCTGCAAGATTTACATCGGTGCTCCAGCTCCTGCCCCACCATATCCCACTGCAGAGAAATGTTCTGCCCGCCCAGCTGGCAGGGGATGGAGATTTTTCCAAGGAATAACTGATTCTCGGGAGCGCGTCAAGGACGAGGGCTTGAATTCAGCCCAGAGGAGTGGGGTGGGAAGTCCCAACTCTAATTCCTTCTGGGTAACTGTCAATCCGTGGTCCCTGCACAAAAATCAGCTTTTAAGAGCATTTTTTCCATTATTTTGTGGAAGGGTTGGGATATCTTTTATTTTCAGGAGCAACAGCCTCTGCCCATCAGAAGTTCTTTAGTGAATACGTGGCATTAAAATGCTGCACCTTAAAACTGGGAAAGGCTGGAGGTGTTTTTAAATAACAGCGGCTAAAAATAGTGATGGACAAGCCACCATATATTGCAAGGCACAATGGACCCTTTGCATCAGGATCCATGAAGGAAAATTACCCAAGTTCCTGGTTTTTAGTACAAATTAGGCAGGAAAAGGAATATGAACATGGGAAGCAGAGTCTGGAAAGGTCAGAAACCTTGGCTGGAATTAAAGACTGGTCTTTGAGGAAATTTTTCCCTCCTGTTGCCCAGAATTCCACTGCCCAGCTGCTGTATCTGCAAACACCTGTGATGCTGTGCTGGAGGCATTTTGGGGCTTCATTTATTTGTCTGTTTATTTATTTGCTTCTACCTGAACTTCCACTGTGTTCAGGAGCTCCAGTTCTGCTCTGCAATGCAAAATAAATCCGGGTTTACGTGTCTGCAATGAGGTTATAAATCAAAATCCATTTAAATGACCTCCAAACCTCGATGCAGGGCCACGGATTTTATGTGGTTCTGGGTGGGTGGCTGGGTCGAACTCAGTCCTTTTGTTCTTAAAGAACTGTAATAGGAAAACCATGGAAATGAGTTTAAAACCTGCAGATTTAGATGAGTTTAAAACAGGTAGAGGGAGTGTGTTGAGTTGGTTTTGACTTTGTGCACTGTGTGATGTAATTATAGAATGACTTGATACTTCAAAAAAAATTAGGGATTGTATTTTCTGGTGATTAGTGAGGACTGAGGCTGGTGTTTGTCACTCAGGCCCTAATTCCCATTTTTAACTCATTGAATCCCAGAATGTTTTGGGTTGGGAGGGACCTTAAAGCCCATCCAGCCCCACCCCCTGCCATGGGCAGGGACACCTTCCACTGGCCCGGGTTGCTCCAACCTGGCCTTGGACACTTCCAGGGATCCAGGGGCAGCCACAGCTTCTCTGGGCAACCTGGGCCAGGGCCTCCCCACCCTCCCAGCCAGGAATTTCTTCCCAATATCCCATCTAACCCTGCCCTGTGGCAGTGGGAAGCCATTCCCTGTGTCCTGTCCCTCCATGCCTTGTCCCCAGTCCCTCTCCAGCTCTCCTGGAGCCCCTTTAGGCCCTGCAAGGGGCTCTCAGCTCTCCCTGGAGCCTTCTCTTCTCCAGGGGAACCCCCCCAGCTCTCCCAGCCTGGCTCCATAAAAATACCACACTGTAGGAAAAAGTGGATCTTGCCCAGTCAGCTCCAGGCTGGCAAAGAACCCTCCTGATTTTTGGAGCAGGGATTCAGCCCCTGCATCAGAATCCAGGAGTGCAGCAGGTCCCGTTCCCGGCCCCACACCGGCAGGGACCATAAACGGCTTTAATGTGCTTTTTGTGATGTGTGAACACGAATATCCTTCCCCTCTCCTGGGATTCAACTCACAGTGACCTCTACCCTCTCTCTGCAGGAGGAATATGAAACGTTGGCAGTGTGATTATTCCTGCCCCAGGCACATTCCCTGTTTTCCTCCGCCGGGACTCGGCCGTGCCACAGTGTCTGGGTGCTGCTCCCCTGCAGCCAACAGCAGTAAGTCAGGCTGGTTTCTTTATTTCCCTTTTTTAAGGATTGAAAACATTAATATCTGTAGCAGTAAGAGAGGTTGTGGAATCCCCTGGATCCCTGGAAGTGTCCAAGGCCAGGTCGGAGCAACCTGGACCAGTGGAAGGTGTCCCTGCCCATGGCAGGGGGTGGAATAAGATGGTTTTTAAGGTCCCTTCCAACCCAACCCATTCCATGATTCCATGATTCTGCGATCCAGTGCCAGCCATCTTAGAACCACAACCACAAACCTTGTGTGGAAGGGAAAAAAAATGGTTAAAAAATGAAGAATTGGAGGTGTTTGCTCAGCACTGCAGAGCTTCAGCTTTGGTTAGAGGAGTAGCTGCTGCAGGAGGTTAAGAACTTACAGGATTAAAAGAACTGATGATATTTAAACCCAGTTTCTGAAGGTTCATTATCCCCGTTGAACAAGGCAGTTGTTAAATATTGGGATAAGAAGGAAACTGTTCCTGAGTGGGAAGTTATTTTATCGAGGTCACCTGAAGAATATCTTTCTCAACAGCACTGATTTTTGCTTAAAGTTGCCTGGGTGAGTGGATTTTTAGTAAGACTGTGTTTAAAAGCTTTGCCCAAAGATCTCTTGCCAAACCCACACAATTATGCAGAATTCCAGTGTTGGAATTCAAATACTTCCTTTACATTTGTTTTTATTTTAATGCAAAATATAGGAAGGTGCTGAATGCAATGTCTCTAATGGAGTTTTGTCCATACCAGAGAACTCACATGATAGGAAATTAATGAGATGTATTAGGGCATTATTTTCCCTTGACAAATGAACGGATTTTTGCACTGGATTTAATGTATGGAAAAAATTGCACCAATTAAAAGCGAAGCCTGAGGCTCAACCATCAGAACTCAAGTGTCAAAATAGAAATATTGCCCAGGGAGCCATTTTATAAAGAGGAGAAGGAGGGTTGTCCCCTCAGAAAGGGATTCTAGACAAAACTTTGGCATTTCAAGAGCCAGGAGGGTGAAAAATTGCCTAATTTACGGAGTGATACTACTGTGGTTGTGAGAAATGCATGGTGAGGTGATTGGAGAAGAAAAATTCCATGTTAATGAAACCAAACCCTTAACCAGAAGAAAAAGAGAAGGAAATGAGTTTCCGTTTTCTCACATCTTCAAAATCTGAGCCTGATGCCATAAAATTCCAGCTTTGTGCTTTCTGGGAAGCACAATCATCCTGGCCCCTGCTTTGGGTTCCTCCTCCAGCCGGAATACCTATGTCACAGCAGGAATTTTGCATCTTTCCATGGAATTCAGGGTGAGCCAGGAGAGCCCTGGGTTGGAAGAGCTGAGCTGAAAGTGAGCCTGGAGGGACCTGCGGGGTCTGAGGGTCTGTGGGACTGTGGGATGGGATCCCTGTGCCCTGGGAAGGGGTTTTGCTGCTGAGGGCTGGTTTCCTTTGGTAGAAGGTGGAGTCACACCATTGTTTAGGTGGGAAAAGCCCTCTGAGTCCAACCAGCCCCAGCACTGCCAAGGCCACCACTGAGCCACGTCCCCAAGTGCCACATCCACAGGGCTTGGAAATCCCTCCAGGGATGGGAATCACCCCTGCCCTGGGAACCTGTGCCAGGGCTGGATGGCCCTTTTCAGGGAGAAATTCCTCCTCCTGTCCCACCTGAGCCTCCCCTGGCCCAGCTGGAGGCCGTTCCCTCTCCTCCTGTCCCTTGTTCCCCGGGAGCAGAGCCCGACACCCCCCGGCTCCCCCCTCCTGTCAGGGGGTTGCAGAGCCAGAAGGTCCCCCCTGAGCCTCCTTTGCTCCAGGCTGAGCCCCCACAGCTCCCTCAAGGAGAAGGTGTCTGGAGCTGTCATGGACATTAAAGGGTGGTGAGGCCTTGTCAGGGGCTGCCCAGGGAGGTTTGGAGTGCCCAGCCCTGGAGGTGTCCCAGGAAGGCCTGGCCGTGGCACTCAGTGCTCTGGGCTGGGGGACAAGGTGGGCATCGGGCACAGGGGGGATCCATGGGCTGGGAGGGCTTTTCCAGCCTCAGGGATTCTGTGCTGTGCTGCAGACACCACCCTGCAGTTGCAGTGGAGTAAAACTGGGATGTGGCCTTTAAATTAAAACACCATAAAGGTTCAGAATCCCAACGCTCTGCTCCTCATGAGCTCCTGCACCAATTTCCATTCACATATTCCCACGTCCATCACTGTCAGCAGCAGGAATTTGAGGACAGGGAGGTTTTTCCAGCACTGCTGGTGCCCAGCAGTTCATCCCCACGGTCCTGCTCCAGCTCCCAGCTCTGTCCCTGCCGAGGGCTGAGGTGTCTGTGGGATCCCAGCCTTGTTCCTGCTCAATGGCCCTGCAAAATCCACACACTTGGAGCCTTCACAACAGAGGTTATTTTATAGCTCTAATAAAATCCTTGGGGGATAGATTATTTACCTCAGTGTTGTTACTCCCTGGTTTGAATCCACTTTTCAAATGGCCGATCAGTCACCCCCACAGCCTCAGTTTTTACAGCAATAATTTCCTGGGGATTCCAGCACGGACTGGGCACGGGCTGGGAGTGTCACACAGGGGCTGGAACACCCCTTTGTGCTCCTGAGCAGTTCTCATACTCCAGAAGTCATCATGGAATGGTTTGGATTGGAAGAGACCTTAAAGCCCATCTCATTCCAGCCCCTGCCATGGGCAGCGACACCTCCCACTAGCCCAGGTTGCTCCAACCTGGCCTTGGACACTTCCAGGAATGTTCAGGTAAACAAGGTATTTTAAGGAGCACAACCAAAGAGCAAGAACAGGAGGAGTTTTTACACTACAAAGCAATTTTTACATCAGTAATGCCATTATTTGTTCTTTATTATAAATGTTACTGTCTGATGCTGTTTCACCCAACAAATATACCTCTGCACATTGAATATCTTACCCCATTAGATTGTGTAATTCCCATTACATATCACATGGGAATGTGAGTGCCAGATCCCACTGCATTGCACTTCTTCCACAGCTTTGACTCCTTAAAAAACAGGAAAAGACAGGATAATCCCTATAAATAACCTTGCCTTCTATTCCTACATGGGGTGCTGGTGGGTGGATTTTCATCTTT